AGATGCAGCATATCACGTACAGTCATTGGCTACCTCTGATCCTGGGAACAGATACTGATGAACTGTTACAGCCATATCAAGGATACGATCCAACAATAGATGCTAGTATAGCTAATGTCTTTGCCACTGCTGCACTCCGCTTTGGACACTCACTGATTCAACCACGATTAGAGCGACTAGACGAGTCCTTCCAATCTATACCCGAGGGTCCATTGCATCTGCGCGACGCATTCTTCTCGCCGTGGCGTCTGGTCGATGAAGGCGGCGTTGATCCTCTTATACGAGGAATGTTCGCCACTGCTGCAAAACTCAAGCTACCTGAACAGAATCTCAATGTCGAGCTGACCGAGCAGCTCTTCCGCACGGCTCACGCCGTTGCCCTCGATCTGGCCGCCATGAACGTGCAGCGTTCCCGTGATCATGCTATTCCAGGATACCTGTCCTGGCGTCAGTATTGCAACATGTCCCACGTGGAAACCTTCGAGGATCTCGCTAATGAGATCAGTGACAGAAAAGTGCGTCAGAAGTTGAGAGAACTCTATGGACATCCTGGTAACATTGATGTATGGGTAGGTGGTATTCTGGAGGATCAGTTACCCAATGCCAAAGTCGGTCCATTGTTTCGGTGTCTTCTGGTAGAACAATTCAAGAGGATGAGGGATGGCGACAGATTTTGGTACGAGAATCCATCCTCGTTTCCTCCTGAACAATTGGCCCAGATCAAGCAAGTCACCCTGGCGAGGATACTCTGCGACAATGGTGACAATGTTTCTCGTATTCAACCTGATGTTTTCCTCCTGCCTAACGACAATAATCCTTTGGGTGCTTGCAATGGTATCCCTACAGTGGATCTACGGATATGGTCTGATTGCTGTGAGAATTGCGAGAATCGCGGTAATACTGTGTCACGATTTAAACGTCATAGTGCTGCAAAATATTCAGCTACGAATAACTTGCAGCAGAATGATATTCTCGACGAGAGTAACGATTGCAATGATCTGAAATGCTTTAAACAATTGTTAATTGAATCTGATATGAAGACGAAGAAGTTAACGGAACAAGTTGGCGAAATTTCGCGCCGGTTAGAGGAACTGATGTTACGGTTGGAGGAAGTTCAGAAGTCTAAATGAATTTCTGTGGCCGGGCACCATTTTTTTTAAATGACCTCATTGCGTTATCGTTCACCATTCATGTATTTTGCTTATATCGTTGTTATCAATCGTACGCGCAATTATTGTATATATATATGCTTCGTTATTTCAACGGTATGTTCTTTCGTTTTATAAACATCTCCCATGTTTATGATGGACATTATACTCCGGGAATCCATTGGCGAATGTTAAGGCTAAACAAGTCTATTTAGTAAAATGAGTAAAAATATTATGAGTAACGTTTATGGACCATCCATTTGTTAATGTCCCCATTGAGGTACTTTACATGGAAGTATCTTGA